TAGGACCTCTCGGACCCCCTGACCCTCAACATCGAAGATAGGTCTCAGGAAGAGAGGCACACATGAGTCGGCAGGTGAAACATGGAGATCTGGGGTTGTCAAGCTGAACCCTTTTTGGTGTCCCCTTTGTCGAGACCTGGAAACCCCTTGACTGTCTGCAGGTCTGGTCTAAAGCCCAAGCGCCAGAGCAGCACCCCTCTTCAAATCTGCCGAGGGAACCCAAAGCGGCCTCACCAGCCAAACCGCAATGGATCTGCCAGAGACGTTGGACGTTGACGAAGTTGCGGGCCAAATGTGTGGGACAAATACTTCAGGAGTACCAGGCTCATTCAGCCCATTGTAATCGACATCTGTGGTTGACATGTATAAACCACAAATGATAATGACAATGACAGTGACGGGGCAATTCTCCTTGTTGACATCCTCTCATCCTGGCTACTGACGTCTACTTCAGACTGCCCACCAGGCTTCCGAATGCAACATCAGCAATTTTCCGTGCCAGCCATGAGCCTTGGAGGCTCTAGACCCAAACAAAGCCCTGGTATCTTGGCCAAACAAAGACCCACGGCAAAAGTGTTCTTGCTTTGGCTAAAGGGACAATGAAGAGAGCCCGCAAGGGCGAAAGGGCCAAAGAGGTGAGTTCAGTCTGCAGTGGATGTTTCTTGCAAGCCGGGACCCCGCAAGTTGGGCGGTGGATGTTTCTTAAAAGCCGGGACCCACAAGAGGTGGGGGTGTCCTTTTTCCCTAACAGCTGAAAGCTATGAGGGTCTCAGCCATAATAGGTTCTGGGGGGTTTGCGGCGGGGCTCTACTGTTTTAATAGCGCCCGCGTGTTGTGAAGCCTCACGCATGCCTCGTTTCTGCGATTCTCGCGGCCTCTGGTCAAGCCAAATGCCCCGCGAACAAATCCAGCAGGGAGAGGTAGGTACCAGCTACCGCCATCACAACCTGCGGGTGTCAGGCTTCCTTTAGAACATGTTGAAAAGGGAACTTTACCAAGAAACAAAAAACCAACAAACACAAAGCCAACTTGTCTAACCGGTGGTCGTGTCGTGGGAGCAGCCCTCGGCAACGAAAGCAATTCCCTGTGTGTGTGTGTGTGTGTGTGTCCGTGTGTCTGTGTGTGTGTGTGTGTCTGTGTGTGTGTGCCTGTGTGTGTGTGTGGGTGGCTCTGTGTCTGTCTGTGTGTGGTTGTTATTTTCCAAAAAGCTGAAAGCTTTGGGGTCGTTGATCGGACAGGCTCTGGAGTGGTCACAGCTTTCAGGTAGGGTTCCGGGGATGCACCACGCGAGTTCTGGGGGCGCATGCCGTTGGGGATATTACCTGAGCGTCCTTTTCCCTTTGCTGGAAATCAGTAACACCCAGTGCGACTCACATCAAGAAGATGCGGACATCTGAAGCCCAAGCTATGCCTTTGATCCCACATGCGGGTGGCTTCCAATCATACGTGCTCTTGAAATTCGGCCGTTCGTCTTCTTTCAAAGTCAACCAACTGAGGGTTCCCCGCCCAAAAAAGCACAATCAACACAAAAGGACACTCTGCAAAGGAGCCGATGACTGCCCGGAGGCAGCTTCTCCAACCTGTAGGACTGCAAAATAGCAACCAACTTTGTATCAGCAGCAACTCTGAAAGCATGACATGGGTATGTCAAAACAATAGGACCCCCAAATAATAGCTTGCCTTTCCGTGTCCCTTCAAACCTGAAAAGAGTACCTAAGAAAGACATAAAATACATATATATGTTCCAGTCTTGCTTGGCCCCCCCCCACCCCCCCCCCGATGGTCATGCTCGCAACAGAAGGTGCTGTAGTACGACAGGCTTAGCCCCCCGCCTTTTTGTGGCATGGAAGGGGGTTCCATGGTTCTTCCCCCCCCGCCCCCCTGTGGGAATGGGAGTTGAGGGGGTTCCATGGTTCTTCCCCCCCCCCATCTGTGGGAATGGGAGTTGGTCTTGTTAGCAGAGTGTTTGAGTTTGCATATTTTGTAGGGATGTTGCTCCAGCATAGATCCTTCTGAGACCTGAGCATTCTTAGCAGTGTCATTGGTTTTACAGATTCTCACCGGAGATGTTGCCTCAGCGTGGATCCTCTGAGATGTCAGTCTTGTTCAGATGTGTTCAAGCTTGCAGATTCTGAGCCTTTGTGTTGCTTCAGAAAAGGTCCTTCTGAGACATGGGCGTTCTTGGCTTCTCATCGTCTGAGGTCTGAGATGTCCGTCTTGTCAGCATGTTTTCAAGTTTGCAGATTCTGAGCCGGGGGTGTTGTTTCAGCATAGGTCCTTCTGAGACATGGGCGTTCTTGGCAGTGTCATTGGTTTACAGATTCTCAGCGAGGATGTTGTTTTAGCATGAGGTTTTTAAGACGTGGGTCTTCATGGCAGTGTCACCGTTTTCAGATTCTCTCACAGCGGGGAGATTGGTTCAAGTGACTCATGCGCCACATGGAGATTCGTGTGCTTTCGGAATGGATGCAGCTATTCAATTTATAGCGGCTTTTCCGGATGCGCATGCGTGGCATGTCACCCTGTTGACGCCAGACAAAAGATGCATAGTCAATAAGCCTGCCATTCCAACTGAAGAGTTGCGCAAGGCTTTGCCCGCGTGGCTGCAGCTTGCTCACACGCATGTGTTTCTGCGCCCTTTGCTGTCGCACTTGGTTTTCCTAGATCTGGATGCTTATCGAGGCTCGTGGGCTACCCTGGTTGAATTGGCGCCGCGCATTCTATCCGAAACTTCAAGCGGTAACTATCAGTTCTGGGGGACTTTGTCCGACATGCCCGCCAAGCACGCAGTCACGATGACCAAAAATTTGCAGGTGGCGTTGGCCGCCGATCCACATAGCACCGGTGCTCAACAGCAGGGGAGGCTTCCGGGTAGTGTGAACGCCAAAGCAGGCAAGCATTCTACGGTGCGGATCTTGCACCAGTCTGTGCAAGATATGTGCCAGGAAGCCTTGTTGCGGGTCGTACCCAGGACGACCCTGCAGGTCGAGGGCGGCGCGTTGAAGGCTACAGTGAAGCCGCCCAGTGCGTCAGCTATGGCGGACCGCAGCAGAGATGATTGGAAGGTAGCTTGCCAATATTTCGAGAACAACCCGACATCCTCTCTCCAGGCAGCCATGGAGTTTTTGAAAGGACACTGGGGTTCATTTCGCAAGCTGTTTGTTTGTATCCCGATATTACTTCAATCCATGAATATCAGTCCCTCTTAGCACTGTACAGGAACTTTTGCCAGAGATCCTTTGAGTCCCATTTGCGCTACCCCTCATGATTGGTAAATATATATATATGTATATATACATACTGTTAAGACACGTCCACCTTGTACATGACACTGCCCATTTGTACATCAAGGCCTTGAGCCTGCAAGTAGACTACAGAAAGACTACAGCCCTTGCCCGCTGGACAACAAGTGCCGAGCTGTCACATCACAGGTTTGACACATCTAGGTCATCAGGCGTTTACACAGTCAGTCCCACCTTAACACATACATATGTTTATTTATATATTTATATTGTGCATGAGTGGAATATGTGGATAGTGAGGCATGAAGACGGAATTCCTGACAATGCGCACTTTTGCCGGGTCTCTTTCTTTTTGGCTTGCGTGCTGGCATCCCAAGGAACCCTCAGGAACGGAGATCGCTTTTTGAAGATTTTTTCTTTTCGTGTTTGCGCGTTCTGGTCCTCAAACAGAACTCACATGACTTTTCCACCTTTGAGATGTCGATCGTCGCGGCCAGTGATCGGACAAACTAAGACTTTGGGCAACCTTTTGGGAGCTTTGTTTCCCCCTGCAGGACAGATGCAAGCTGAAAGGCCTAATCCAGAGTACTATCTCAACAGAACTGTGACACGGGCAATGGAACATGTCACGAAGCAGAGACCGGAGTCTGCTGCAAAGCTCCAGCCTTCGCACATTGCAGCCGACCCAGCACCTGCTGCTCGCCAGTCAGGCGCAGCGCTTGTTCCGGTTGAACAAGTGCAGTTGCTCGTGGACCAGGCCTTGGACAAGCGCTTGGCCCCGCTCTTGCATGTCAAGAAATCTTGCAAAGATTGTGGCAAGGACTTAGAGCGGCAACACTTCACTGCAGTCCAGTGGGCCTGCGCTGAACCCGTTTGCACCTCTTGCTGTCCAGTGGACGCACGCTTTCAGAAACGTTTGTTGGCTTCCAAGCAGTGCGCGCAGTGCCAGCAGCAGACTTCGCGACACGAGTTCAGCAAGACCCAGTGGGAGCGCGGGAGCGGCTCCGTCTGTAAGACATGTCTTGTTGCCAAGACTGCCGCGCAAAAGGTCTACACAAAGACGTGTTCGGGGTGCAACGCAGCAAAGAGCCAAGCTGAGTTTTCCAAAACTCAGTGGACTCAAACCAAGCTTGCTCTTTTGAAGTGCAAGACATGCTGTGAACAGGCGTTGAAGAAAAGCCAGGAAGCTTTGATGCAGTGGCAGCGTGATAGCGTCTCAAAGGCGCCCAAGCAGCACGCCGTAGAGGGCGACGCTACCCTGCGGTCAGTGGAAGAGGCCAAGCGCTGGCAGCTGGAGGCTCCCACAGATGCCTTGCCGTCCGTGCGCTTGAAGAGCTTGCAGGCTATGAAGGCTCTGAGCGGCGTCAAAGAGTGGGGGACTGCTTCTTTGCTTATCAAAGATGATGGGTACTCCACGGTGACTGGGCCAACGTAGCAGCCATGTCCGATTTAGAAGTATAACGTGTTGCCTTTTCATAAGCGGACAGAATTTGTTTACCTCATTCTACCATCCAAGGCCAAGAAGCGTGAGCTCCTGGCTGCAGCGCACGGTGACAATGGTCATATGGGTGGCCGTGATGCCGTGGAAAAAACTCTGCGCACTCAGGCAGTCAACTGGCAACATCTTCTGATGCGGCATGGGTGGTGGCGCGCTGCACGCAGTGTGTCACGCGCAAGACTAGCGGCATCGCTGCGCCTGGTTGCCGCTCGCTCCCTCGCCCGCTGTGCGCGGGGGATGTCGTGGGAGTCGACCTCAAGATGGTTACACCGCCAGGGGGTGACAGATGGTGCATGATGGTGCTCTTAGATTTCACCAGCAACAGGCTCTGGGCGTGGGACATGGACGAGGATAAGCTACTCAGCCTAACCTTGAGGCTAAGATGGGGGTCCGGTTATCTGTTAAAACTGTTTGGCCGTTGGGGGACAAGACAAGTAAGCCCTCGCTTTCAAGCACACAGCCCCTTGCTTAACAACGTCTTTATTCAGGAAGGGCGTCGGCGATGTGCAAAGCTTGCTGGTTCGCTGGTACAGCGAGATTGAGGTGCCGCTGGTGATTTGGAGCGACGGCTCTCAGTTCAGGTCGGTGCTCTCCGAGGCGGTCAAGCTTTCACTTGGAGTTGAGCCGCGGTTCATTCCACCGGGCCGGCCGCAATCGAACGGCCTCGTCGAAGTGTGCCTGGGTTAAGAAACTGCTTTTGGTAAACTGCTATGCCAATAGACCCATTGTTTCCTTTTGTGTCAGTCCATCGTTTTCCCGCTTTCTGTTCATGGGCCCGAGGATGAACCGTGTACTTGACGGAAGTCACGGCGGTGACCGTAGCCAGCTGATGCTGGCCGTGGCTGCACACAACGCGATGCCGACGAGGAAGCACGGCATCTGTCCGGAGGCCATTTGGCGGGCCTGTAGGCCCGTCGAAAGCCGATGGAAACACAAGACTGTGCAAAGCGTTCTCGGCCATCCCCCGACAGACCTGTCTTCTGAGGAGTGGGATAGCTTCCTTAGCGCTCATGCTGCCTTGACAACTGACGACTACAAGCAGGCTATTGCTACATTTGAGGCTAAGATGCAGCCTGTGCAGGAAGCGCTTCAAGATCAACACGCACGCTCCGCCCTTGCGCAGCAACTCAAGTATCAGAGGAAGAAGACACGGGCGTCTGCAATGCCTCTTCTCAGTGGTGACCGAGTGATTGTGCGAGCTTCCCAGTACCGCTCAGCCTGTGGCTATGGTAAGTTCGAGACAGACAAGGGTGGCGGTTTGAAAGAATATGTTGTGAAAAGCATCAACTCTTCCATTGCTCAGATCGAGGAGTTGGGTACCGGTGTGCTGGGCTTCAAGCATGTGGGGATGCTCAAGGCGCTGCCAAATTCTATGCCTTCGAATGTGGCTGATGATCCTGGGCCTAGCCCTCGGGCCAAGCGCCAATTGGAGCGCTTGCCACCTATCGGCCCATTCTTTCAGATAGCTGCAGATACGGATGGCGGGTGCATGTTTCGAAGTCTGGCCATGGGCTTACAGTTTCTTGCAGGGGTGCCGCCGCATCGTCTCGAAGACAACGATCAGCAGGTGCTGCAGCTGCGTCGCTCCTTGATTGCGTACTCTGAAAGGCATGTGCGAGGCCTGCCCCGGCAGGAGCTGCTGACGCTTTCTGAGTTAGCGGCGCATGAGCTGCGAGATGACCCTTCCTGGAAGACCTCATTCAGCTGGGATGCTTTTCACCAGTACATGAGCGAGCCCAAGAGATACGGGACGTATTATTGGCTGGGCACGTTTACACGGATGCATTCTGTCGGGGTGCGGGTTTACAGGCTGCAGTCAGATGCACTCGCGCTGTCATGGCAGGAGCAGCCGCCAGGGGGTGTTGGTGCCGACACACGTCATGTTTCACTTCTCAGGAATGGTTTGCACTATGATTTGCTGGTTCTGAATATGGCTCCTGCGAAGAGGATGCGCGGCAAGCAGTCCGCTTAGACACGGTGAAAACCAGCACCTGCAACACGCGGGGCCCGGTGTACGCATACAGTTTGAGGGTCTCTCAAGTCACAAGCAGCAGGGGAACACTCTTCGGGTAGCGTTAGCTGAGTTAGCTGATATCATCCGTGCTTGAGCATCCTCGAGTTGGAGTATTTTTCTGGGATGAAAGGTTGTGTGCTGCACGTTGGAATTTTTGTTTGGGTGTTGCGCGCCCCCTGTTGTAATTCAGGTTTGGCGAACCGCGGGGCATGTAGGAGGGGGGGGGGTTTGCTACGAGTTTCGTTTGCTTGTTTGTGCTATGGACCTTGTTTCTTGGCACCTGGCAAGACCCAGCACCTTGGCCGCAAGCCTCGCTCTTGGATGGACCCATACCATTTGGGGGGGGGGGGGGGCTGGGGACGACGGGCGACGGGAACATATATATATATATACATATGGAGCATTTAGCCGGTGCCTCCAAGTGAAGTTAGAGTATCTTTGAGACAACCTTGAACAAGGAATGGCAAATCGAAATGCTGCTCGTACTCCACACTGCAGCAGTTGAGGCGGGGGCACCGTGGCATATCACAAGGTTTGGCTGCAGAACCAAGAACTGCCCAAGGATGTAGCAAAATTTGGATTTTCCTTCAAAGAACCCCCAAGGTCTTTCTAAGTCCCCTGGAAAAGCTAGTATGTGCAGTGATATATTCCCTTCAAAACCAATAGGGGAAAAACTATTCCTCTGAAACGCAAGTGGACATTTCTATGTCCGATATCCAAACGAGGCACTCCGAAGACCAAGATAAGGAAGTGGGGCAGGTAGGTGAGGGACATCAAGTTGGCGACCTGCGAATTGCTGGACGCGGGGGGGGGGGGGGGAGGGGGAAAAATGATTATAAGGTTGGTTCTAGGGTAGGGAATTTTCAGTTCAGGGTTTCAGGGGCAGGGATGAAATTAAACAAGCAAACCATTTTGTCCAAAACCTAAAGGTTGATTGTGGGGAATTGTCCTAAATTTTCTCAACATTTTTTTACATTTTTTTCAATATGAAACAGTCTAAGATATTGACATTTTCAAGGTTCGGGTTTCAGACAATTTTATGGCTTTCTGGGGTTTCCCGGCGACTCCGCCTATGCTTTGTCCTCATCGACTACATCTCTGATTATGCCAGAGCCCCAGATTGTCTATACCAGTCTGTCATTTGACTGATTGAGAGTGAAAAACCTTGACAGTTGAACGCTGGAACATTTGACTTCGCCGTCCCTCAAATAGCAGTTGGTCTGAGAACCTTTGACCTTTTGCCTTTGCTCTGAATTCGCTTGGTTGAAGCGATGTCGCCAAAGCAGTCTAAGCCTTTGATGAACGAGAACGATGAGGACATTGACCAGACGGTGAATGACGAGGGCATCGCCCAGATGATGGCAGAAGATGAGGAGATGCAGTTGCTAAGCGAAGCCCTGAACAAAGAAAGCAGTGAAGAGGAGAGTGAGACTTCTGATGAAGAGGTCAATGAACTTGGTGAGCACCTGTTTGCCCTTGACATTGACGCCGATGACCTTAAGGAGGCGATGAGCGAGATGAACTTGAAGCAGATTTACCAGTTGAACGACACTTGGAAAGAGAACACCTTGGACATTGTCAACAAGTACAAGAGCATCATGGCCTTCAAGAAGAAGATGGAGAAGGACACAAAGAAACAGATTAACAAAGCGAAGAAGCTGGAAGACAGAATCATTGACAAGGAGAGGAAGAAGGCTGAAAAGTTGGAGATGATTGAGGTGGTTGTTCGTTTCAACAACGAGAACTTTCGTGTCACCATCCGAAAGAAGGACTTCTTGAAAGACCTGAGGATGTTCCTTGCCCGCAACTATGCCATGACCTTCACCACTGACACTATGACCCGTCGCCTTCGCTTTGAGTTCCTTGGTCAATGCCTCAACAGTCATCCTCGCCGTGAGCTTGGCACTTGGGGCATTCAGAACGGCTCAATCATCAACGCCGAGAGCACCGCCCAGAGCTCCACCGATGGGAATGACAAGGACACCGACAAGAAGAAGGGAGGCTACTCCATCGACAAGAAGGACAAGAAGGACAAAAAGGAGAAGAAAGACAAGAGCGACGCTGAGGGCTCACAGTAGGTCTTCTCACCAAGATAGAAGCGAGCGAGGACAGGTCATTGAACTCAATATATGTTGATGTAAGAAAATCCACAGCTGGTTGATGAACTGACCTGATACTCATAACATCGCTTCAAGCAGGGAACAGGGAGGAAACTACAAATGCTACGCGCTGTTGAAAATGTCCTCTTCACTGCTTCAATCGTAAAGAATGCAATTATTGAACTTTACCTTGATTTCATTGCTTTGCTCTACCGCAGGCGTTTTGTATCATAGTGTTTTTTAGGTCTCCTTTTCAAAACCCGAGCAATGGTGTTTGGTGGCAAAAAGGTGATTAAGCAAATCCTCAAAAAGGATGAGGCGGTGAAGTCTTTAGCTGGCCGTGCCAAAGCCCTCATCACCAAGCAGTTTGATGAAGTGTCCCTGTCAAATGAACGAATGCCTCATCAGCTGGAACCGCTCCTGAACCCCGTCTATGGTGCCATCAACAACGTGAAGGAAAAGATGACGAACAATGAGCCCTTCTTGAAAGAGTGCCTGTCTCGCCTTTCTGATGAGAAGCTGGCAAACCTCATTGAGGTTATGAAGGTCAAGGGCAACACTGAACCGAAAATTGTACAGTGCTCATACCTGCTTTTGAAAGAGCTTGATTTGATGGACAGTTGTCTTGACTTTGTACATAAAGCACGCCTTGATTTAATCCATTGCTATTGCGAGGCATACTCGAAAGAGTATTCCTGCCCCAAAGGACAGGATTACATTTTTGATAATGACAGATTTCTGTCAGACTTGCGGAAGGCAGTTTCTTACAGGGAAGGCTTGAGGCGAGCGTCAGAGGTGAATATCAACCCTGCCGCTCCTCCAATTGAACAGGAGACGAATTCGTGCTCGGTTATGTGATTTGTCCCTGACCCTGCCTGTCTATCAATATTCATTTTTCCATTTTCAATACTGGCACTATTCAGTATTCAATACTCCATACTGGCACTATTCAGTATTCAATACTCCATACTGACACTATTTAGTATTCAATACTCCATACTGGCACTATTCAGTATTCAATACTGGCACTATTCAGTATCACATACTCAATACTGGGTCAGGAGACATTCACTTTGTGTGTCAAATAAGACTTAGACCTATGGTCTAAGCATAACTGGGGTAGGACACACTGACCAAAAACTGGTCATAAAAACCAATGTTGCGTTGGAAGCGGGGTCGCGAAAAACAAGCAAAGCAATTGTGTCTGTCATTTCTACCAGAAAGTGTGTCACGATTTTTATACTGTGCCTTTTCCATTTGTCCGCTCCGAGGTTGAGAAGTCATGCTGTCCATCACTTACAAGGCTGACCAGTTCAAGGCGTCGGCGGCTTCCCCTTTAATGGGTGTCCCAAACCCAACAAAACAAGGGCATAATCCCCCATTTCTCAACTCCCTCAAAATCAACAACCACATCAACTTCATCAGTTTCAGTTTCAAACTCACCCCCAAACCCACATTTCAACGTTGAACCCAACCCCACAAAAACCAGACCCACTAACACAAACCCCCACCCAAATATACTTAAAGAGAAAATACCATATATAGTATAGAGAAATGGCAGGGGAATACAGCACGGGTTCAATAATTGAATATTTAATATCCAATAATGAAGGTCAAATAAAAACAGGGAAGAATAACAAACCATTGAAAAAACTAATCATCAACAACAAAGAATACTATTACAACAAAGACAAACCATTATCCTCATCACTTCAAAACAAACTCAATCAAGTCAGCAACACACAAGGTTTCAAAGGATTTAATCTTCTAAAAAAAGCATCAAACACAATGAGAGGCATTAAAACAATCCAGAAATACAGATTAAAAATAGGAGCAAAAACATCAGAGACATTTTCGGCATTGAAAGGATATGCCAACACATATTCAATATCCAACATACCATTCAAGGGATACAAAGGATTAACATATCTTTTATGGCAAGAAAAGAAACTAACAGAGTTTTTACAACAAGCAAAATCAATGAAACTACTGATTGATGTTGAGGTTCTGTTTGATAAAGTTAACCAGCAAGATGATGATGATGGAGAAGATGAACCAATTGAGGAAAATATACAAATAAAACACAATATGAGAAGCAGGAGATATAACATTCTAAATGTAGGAGACTTGAAAAAAGCATTGGAAAATATACCTAAAGATATTGAATTACAAATTGAAGACTCACCTTTGAAACATTCAGGATTGAAGATTAATAAGATTAACAAAATCACCATCCACTACGACAAATACAATCCGAACAGAGCAGGAAGATATATGGAACTACCAGAATGGATTTCAAAGAAAAAAGCATGTATCAACATTCAAAATGATGATGAATTATGTTTTAAATATTGTGTTTTATGTAAATTTTATGAAGTCTTCAAGAAAGACCATCCACAACATATGAGACACTACAAGAAATTAATAACTACTGAAAGTCTAATTCAATGGGATGGTGTAAATTTTCCAGCATCCAACGATGACATAGACCATTTTGAAGAAATCAATAACAAATCTATATCAGTTAATGTTTATGTTGAAGATGAGAACCAAACCATCAGAGCAGACAGAATAACGAAGATTGAAAGACCATCTTGTCATATCAATCTATTACGAATTGAAAAAGATGATAATGAACACTATGTTTTAATAAAAGATTTTAGTAGATTAGCAGGAAGACAAACAAACAAAACAACTAATAAAATGTTTTTTTGTAGTTTTTGTCAGCACGGTTTCAAGTCAGAAAAACTTTTAAATTCTCACTTAATAAAAGGTTGTATGGCAAATGACATTCAACAAACAAAAATGCCAGAAGAAGGAACATCAATGAAGTTTGAAAAGCATTTTAAGAAACTGAAA